AGATATCTAAAGACAAACAAAAAGGCATTAAGGCTATCTATGAGCTCGTTACGCTAGCCTTCTCGTAAACCTGGTATTCCAGTAATCGAAGCGCTTTGTAAATGAATCCAAACCAATCCTAATTCAGGAAGATAGAGAGCACCGCACATTTTTGTGCTATGGCTAAAAGCATTCTCGAAGAAGATTTAGATAGTGGTTTTTGCTTTATTATGTTTTGCAAATGGATAGGTAAAGAACAACATACAGGCTTGGTAGACAAGCAAACTACTAGGCCTTAATGTCCCTTGGAAAACTAGAAGAGCTCGAAGCGTAACCCAATGCTTTCCTTACTAGATTAATTGTTTTGACCTAAGCGGAGGAATTAAAGTGTCGTTTCTGCGCCATATGAGGCCATTTAGTCCATTCCATCTTGCTAACAAATAATAATGAGCACCCATAAAAGATATCTACGAAGCATTTGCTTTCTATCTATACAACTTCAAAAGACACAAGAGAACAAGTTTTTTGCTGGCCCCTGGTAGGTCCCTAAGGACAATGTAGGAAGACAGGCTGGCAATGGAGAAATAACTACATCCAGCTCAGGAAATGACTGCACCCAATGCATTCTACGAAAAGTCCTTCGAAAAAACTCGCCAACATCTACAAAGTGAAGACTGAGGGACAAGAATCAGTATATTTATTGAAAGAGAAGAAAACCGAAGCAGGATTTACTTCAGCCAAGGATCAGTATGAGAGTCAATTTATATAACTAATTTACACGTGATCCAGTGCATTGTTCTTCGCAAAAACAGTTTAAGCAAAGCGATCTTGCGTTTTTGGGCTAACTATTACATCGTTGTTTTAATGATTAGGTAACGAAGCCGTCAAAGGGCGATAGACCGCAGGTATACAAAGGCTATATCTGATAAAGACAAGCAGCCAGTCAAAAATGAACCTAAAGTCTAAGTGCAAACAGCTGCACACATTATGAAAATATCTGAGAGAGACACTCGCTCAACCCCGCTAAAAGTGATCGGAAGCTGTAAACACAGCGGCTCTCTCTGTGCTCGGACGAGGTTGTGGACCTCTCACAGACCGGGCATCTAAGGACTGTGACAGGCAGCAAAATTCTGTGCCGCTACGGAATGAGAAGATAAAAGCGGCAAGCAGAATGCGCGCGCTTTTTTGAATACACTTGTGGCCTGCGATCATGAGTAAATGTGTGCGCGCTAAAATAAAAGATTTCATGTGGGAGTAAAATGATGAAAAGTCTTGGGTCACTTGTTTTCTGTCGGATCGTATTAGGCCCCATGAACTGAATAAAACGGAAGAGTCGGGATCAAGATCTGGCAAAGCACTCTTGAACAACTAACAACTATGGGTGCATCCTACTCTAAATGAAGAATCCGAAAACATTCCTTGCAAAACCACTACGCTCAAGAGCAACTAGTTTGTTTGTGAGTGTTCCACATGGTGTTCGTCACACCTTTTGAAGCATTTTAACTGGCAAATTTCAGGAGTCGGTCTAATACTAAAGAGATGTCATAGCGGGCAAATTTAATTCGCCAATTTTAGGCTGCAATAAGCCATTGGACTGCAGAGGCCTCAACAGTTGAAGGCTCCGTCCCCTCCCAAAAGGAGAAGGTTCGCTCAGTTCAGCATGTTGATAAACCAACTCGATGACACCGGGACAGTGAAAATCATTTTCAGATTTACTACCGACTGAATATGAGGATAGCCCTCGTTTTTCAAAATAGCAGTAACAAGTGAGAACCCGTACATATTAGCCAGGTTGAGGCCAACTCATAGACTCCAAGAACTGGGCAGGATAACGCCGTGTTGAGGACCAAATATGCCAAAATGCCGACCGAGTGTTGCTGAGTACATGTTTGAAGATACCAAAGGATAAAAAATCCTCTTTGCCATGGGACAGTTCCAGACTGATCTGTTCGGAAATTGTGTTCTCAAATGAAGTTTGACCAGATCAGCTGGAGGATATCGGAAATGATGAACAAATTAAATTTCCGTCAATGTGACAGGAACAGATGTGAACCACCAACCAGGCTAAGGAACACCAATGAATCTTCCTTGGCACAAAAAGAGTACCGATCAACGCAGTTTTGTGAATAAACCCGAAAGGATGGTGTAAAGAAACACAATTAACTGGGAAAGCAAAGTATCACAAGTGGCGACGTTTTACCAATACCAACTACCGACTGCTGAAATCAGGTTATTTTTATTTGTTCAAGAGTTGTTTAGTTCGTGGAAGGCGAGGTTCATGGCCGACTCACACACACTATTCCGTGTGTTACAAGCCAAGACTCGTGCAAATATTGGTTGGCTGGAAGTAATAAAGAAGAGCAAATAGAGCTAAACTGTGTCCAACATAACCAAGATTCCGCTTGGTGACCAAACAACTTGCATCAACTAATACCTGAGAGGAACTTTCGCCTTAGCACTTTCAGAAAGGAGCAGTGCCTACGATATGGAAGAGGTCATCATCAAGTTGTAATGTGAAGATGGAGATACAAGTAACCCTAATAGTGCGTTGCCACGTAACCCTTTGTGGGTGAACGAGGAGGTGGTGCGAAAATGGACAAAAACATGTTTAAGGCAGCACAATAAAATCATAATCATACGGTCATTAGACTTTACCAGCCCAGTGCTACGTTACAAATTTGCCACTAATACGTGAAAGCTTGGCAAGATCAGTAGGTACACTATTCGTAGACTTAAGTAAAACATCCGATAGAGTGCGCCACATCCGCATTTTTTCCATACTCCGGAAAGGAACCATCTTGTTCTTTGCAGTACGAGAGAAAACCAATTTCCTCTGAGACCATCTGTATAAGTTAAGGTTCAAAGAACAGTCTCCAAAAAGGCTGTCTGTCTACAGACGTCAGTAGTGGAACTCACGCCATTATAAACAATATACCATGGAGGCTGGAGAGAAGCGGTGGCGCACCATCGGGGCATCTTAAGGCAGGTGGTCTCTTCAGGCTATCGTGCATACGCCAGAAGACGGTAGTCAATCATGCGGTCAACGCAACCAAATGTCATTATCTATTCATTGGCGGAATGCTCGGGTGACTAGAAAAAACGAGGAACAAGACACAAAATTATAACTTAGCATGAGCGGTGAAATGGCATATGTCCATGGACAAACCACCACCGAACTGAGTAAAAGATTACGACAGTCGCGTGAAGGATACTCAACAAAGTACACTCTCTATGCTGCTGAAAAACCTTTACTACTAAGCTTCTTGCAGACAATATCTTTTGCCAACGAGGTCGTGGTAGCCACAACTGCCATAAGGTGCTTGTGGTTATCTACGCAGTGTCAATGATGAAATCAGTGTATAATCCTTTGATCCAGGCCATCGAAGATCTGGACATAGTCAAAGACATTGTGCAATTTGTGGTGGACACAAAACAATTATATTTTAACAAAAATGCATTTCAGTGTCTAAAGTCAACTTTAAACAAAGAAAGGTAGCCGAAAAATGGTCAACAGGATAAGAGGACGTAGTAAAGTAATGGATCAATCAAGTGGTCTCGTTCATATTGATTGCAAAGAAATAAGAGCCATCGATAAAGTTAGCGATTTGAACACATGATTATTTTCTATCAGCGTTGCCCAGAAATACTATATATAAAGTACCAGTCACCTGTTGCTCTACTGTTGGGCTCATTCAGATGCCTGAAAAGTGATCATCTCCATCGCGGTTGATTCATTTAAGGCATATGGCGCAGCCTTCTGGTAAAGTAGAATTCTTTTCAATAAGAGCAGTCTAAGTATATCATCCAAAACCAAACATAGTTATTTTATCCTTTTTTGTGGATTAATTGCTCTAGTAGAGGTCATTAAAACGTCAAAATTTGTTGAAAAGCTACTGGTTTCTGGACGAGTGAGTAATTAGAGTTTTGGTTCTACTCACCTCACAGCTAAGGCCAAACATGCAAGTCTCAAAATCGGGTCCCGACATCACTGTCACCGTCATTATCATCATCAACAGCCTCGACGTCGTCTTTGTTTGTTCCATTATTGCTGAAAGCAACATCTGTGTAGGAACCGAGTGCTTCCAACAAGATTCTGCAGTGAAACAATCGCCACGTGAAGCACACTACATATCTTGGGGCTGTTGAACCTCTTAACTCCTGTTGGAATCCTTCGGCTAGAAACTGACACGGTGAAGGCCGTAGAAATCAATTTCATGGTAGTCAGGTCAGCGAAAGGTTAAATCACTTTTTTTTAACCAATCTACATCACTTCTAAGATGAAACAGTGTTTAGAAAGATGACCGTTTTTATGACGCTGCTTCACTGTGCACGGACCGCCTCAGATGTCCGTACAACTTCTGACTACTCCAATCCTCCGGAAATCACTGTAAACTTTTTTCGGTTGGTGAGTTGGTCACCAGTGACCAAATCGTAGTCATCAAGTTTAGACATGGCTTTGCGAGAGAAGCGAAGACAGATTCGGCTTAGAATAGTCTGTTTGCAATTTGGCAAAAATTCCCGCTCCATCACTGAAGCTGCAAGGATTATCTTGCATATGCCTTTGAGAGTACTTTGTGGGACCATAACCTTGGGGCCATGCATAGGTACGTATGATAAGCTGAATGAAACTCAGATAGACCAACCTTCTGGTCTTCCAACCCAAAGTTGGGATTGTCAAATGAGAAAACGATGCAAACTTCCGCTGAATATCTGAAATCATCTCACTGTTTAGACACTACACACAGAGACTTCATAGACCTCATAGGCCTCTTGCTGTGAAGTTCCTGGAGGGAGAAACAAGCCATTTGTTGGGCTCTATTTTCCAGACTGCGGGAATATTAACTAAGTGTTAGCGTTCAAACACTTATCCGGAATGTTGTACGTTGCGTCTCTGCGATTCGCACGACTTTTTATTCTTCACGTGAATCGAAAACTTTACAGCGCTGTTAAACACTTTGTTATGGATCAAATGGCCTCACAAGAAGAAACCAAAGGCTAAGCCTTCATCTTCTCATCCACAGACCAAACCAAACTTTGTTTTCTCATCGAATTTCCATTATTCAAACAAAACAAATGGGTGATCACATTAAAAAAACTATCGAAAAGCTACACGAGGCTGGTTGTTATTTGAGAGAACCAGAACCAATTCAACGGCCTAACAATGAATCTCTAATCAGTGTGCTGGACTTGGAGAAGCAAAAGTTGAATGAAAAGCGAGAAAAACTGAAAACTCGTAGACAAGAAGCAATAAAAAATTTGCAAGAGAAGGGGTTCCCCACATTTCGTCCAGATATTGATGAAGCAGATCACTCAACTCTTTGTACTGGGATACCTCCACAAATTAGGCCAGTAAAGAACAGTTTGGTGAATCCGGATCCAGACAAGCCACAAAACCGGTTACCTCTCGTGAGAATCTTTTTCTGTTATAGTCAGACAACTACAGGAGTTGGATAGTTCCAGCAGAGAATATTGCATACTACAAAGGGAAACTATCCCGTTACCTGAACCCTATATTCCCGATCGCGTTGTTCGATCTCGATTCAGAGGTAAGTCATGTTTTGATGGACAACTTACTTTGTCTTTCTCATGGCAGTTCAACAGCTAGAACCGCAGTCCGCCGAATACAAAAGGCAGAACATTTCGGATATCTTTCCTCAGAGAGTAAGCATACTGTCCATCAAAATGACGCAGTTATTTGGAAGATATTACTATCAACCGCTCCGTTTTCGGAATTTTGTGCTGGATATTAGATAACCTCTGATTACCAAAAAATCATGGAGATATATTGAACCATAATAAACCAGAGTATGCAAATAATATAGGATAGTGAATCAAGAACAAAGAACTGCACAAAACTTGTTGCAGTTGTCACATCGAAACTAGGATACAAGTTTAATTCTAGTTTGAGCAGTTCGTTGTACACTTGTTGGTTGTCAAAGCACCAGTAATATTACTGTTATTTTTGTTTCTCTCGCTAATTGGTTGAAGAAATGGACCAATTGCATTGCTTTTGATAATACCGCTATTTTCTACTGGTTGCTGATACGTTGGTTGGTGAATAATTGGCCTACCAGCAAGTGATCATTGCTGCCGACCGATTCCAGTGGTGCTCTTGTCAGTTTCTATCCAGATTATCTGAGTGAATGTCTGGAGGTGTAGTTATCTCGGAATGATTGTGGTAAGCTAGCATCAAGTCCCCTCCCCGTCCACCTCTATTCTTTTCTTTACAATAAGGCTTTCAAATAAATCATGGTTGTACGGCAATGAAGCATCAGTGTTGAACACTGATGTGCTGTCGATGATTATGATGATGATTATGATTATGATGATGATGATGATGATGATGATGATGATGATGA